CACCCAGCACTCTTCCCTGCCTATGCAGGGGGTCAGACTCGATGATCTCAAGCAAATCCCGGGACGTCTCAAGCAAATCCCGGGACGTCTCTCAAGCAAATCCTGGGACGTCATTCTCCCCCTGTACTCGGCCTTAGTGAGGCCGCAGCTGGAGTACTGTGTCCAGTTTTGGGCTCCACAATTCAAAAAGGATGTGGAGAAGCTTGAGAGAGTCCAGAGAAGAGCCACGCGCATGATCAGAGGTCAGGGAAGCAGACCCTACGATGACAGGCGGAGAGCTCTGGGGCTCTTTAGCCTGAAAAAGCGCAGGCTCAGGGGTGATCTGATGGCCACCTACAAGTTTATCAGGGGTGACCACCAGTATCTGGGGGAACGTTTGTTCACCAGAGCGCCCCAAGGGATGACGAGGTCAAATGGTCACAAACTACTTCAAGATCGTTTCAGGCTGGACATAAGGAAGAATTTCTTTACTGTCCGAGCCCCCAAGGTCTGGAACAGCCTGCCACCGGAGGTGGTTCAAGCGCCTTCATTGAACAGCTTCAAGATGAAACTGGATGCTTATCTTGCTGGGATCCTATGACCCCAGCTGACTTCCTGCCCTTTGGGCAGGGGGCTGGACTCGATGATCTTCCGAGGTCCCTTCCAGCCCTAATGTCTATGAAATCTATGAAAGACCGAGGGAGGATATGATAACAGTCAAAGACAAAAAGATCATTATAAAAAAAGACAATCTACTCTTCTGTAATGGAGTTAAATTATACAACAATTTAGCTTTATCAGGAAGCACTGTCTAACTCTCATGGTGGTTAAGTGTTTAAGAGCAGGTTAGACAAATATCTTTGTCAGGGATGGTTCTGCCTTGAAAAGCGGATTGGATTAAATGATCTCCAGTCCCATTTTTTATGATTCATAAAATACATGGACTTAACTCTCCAAGATTCAGGGTTTCCTTGTTGAGCTAAGGGTGTAAAATATCACACAAGATCAGCATCTTAGGTGAGCCATAGTATGAAAAGATGTGCAGGGTGGGGAAGGATACCTAGGAGTTATTGTGTCAGCTATGGCAAATGCAAATGAATAGTCCCTCCCACCATGTCTTTAAAGTAAAAATGAAAAAAAAAAGAAAATGCTGAGAGATACCAACCAGAATAAGTGGTTTGTCCACGTGGAGCTACCAAAACTGAGGGGCCAGTAAGAGATTATATTTACTATAAATTTTGCCAAGTGGCCATCACACATAAAGGTTGGTGGGGGGCTTTTTTTTTCTTCTTGTTTTTTTTTTGTTTGTTTGTTTTTTGTGTTTTTGTTTTTTGCTGATTTGCGTATTTGGTATTGCTATTTTCAGGGCTAGCCTCCAGGGGATATCATCTTGTCAGTCAGCTGTTATTCATCAGGATAAATTAATAGCAGCATTCTGCCTATAGCGGCCTTTGGCTTTAGGCCAGTTTACGCTATGTGGTGCTGCACAGGGTACTGTAAATACCATGATAGCTTATGCACATCTATTTTGGTGTAGGTTGTTCACAGAGAAAATATATGAGTTCAATAATTAAGATGGAAGGGAATGGGACTCCTGCTCCAAAGTCAATCTTGTTTCCAGTTAATGTAGAGAACTCACAGAGGGGCAGTTATAGGCCCAATTCATTCCCTGTAATCCTATTGACTTCAGCGCTGCAAAAGGAGTGAATTCTCTCTTACTGTAGAGACATTTGTACAGTAACCAGTGTCAGAATCTTGAGACCATGCCTTTCCCAGTGCTCTTCTTCTCACTGGGCACATCTACACATGCATATTAAGGCATAGCAATAAACTGTGTCAATATGCTTTGGGCTCTGCATTGAGTTTTGTAGCATGGGAACAGACTTGAGGGGCTGAGGGCAAAATGGCTCTGCACCGCATTTACACATGCACTTGGGACTACAGCACATTGAGCCAGGTCAGAGCAGCTCCAGAACTGGCAGGGAGCCCGGGGGGTCATCAAAGGTGTTTAGTTCATAAGTGCACCGCTGCCATTTTCTGTGCGCTAACGTGCATTTTACCACTTATACAACTGCACGCAATGCAGCGCAGTGTGAATCAACTAATCAAGTGTGCTCCACATGCAAGCTGAGTCTGCTCCGATATGTCGAATCTGTGGTGTGTTGCAACATGAAAAAGTATGCATATAAATCCCCTGGAAGATCAAGGCCTATCCAAAAGGAGGAGGGTCATTCTCACCTTTCATCTGTGGGAAGAATTTGGGAGTCAGGTAAAATATAATATGGAATAAGGTAATTTTACTGGGTGAAGAACAAATGAGAGCAAGAAGGCTGAAAACTTATTGTATGAGTCCTCATTTGCTTTACTTAGTTCAGAGCATCATAAAGGCAGGTTTGACAGGGAGATTGAAAGGGAAGGGCTGTACTATATATTAAATGTTGACTCCCAGTGTGGGGATGCAGCTCCTGTTGAAGTCAGTGGGATTTGTGTTCTCTGTGTTGTTCCCAAAAGATGAAAAGGTACTTTATAGAAGCAGTGCAGACTGAAATGCAAAGACTTCATCCTCTTCCACTGATAACACTTCGGCTTGTTCCTTCAGATAAAGCAGTGATCCGGATGGTATACTAAAATGAAACAGTACAACTTTTTGTGGAGGCAGTGTGAGTGGGGGTGATATTCCTGGTTAGTCTTGTATTGCAAAAATAAGTCATATTTCATGCTTGCTGCTGAATAAATTATAAGATTGCTATTACAACACAGAGGATAGAATTTATCTTTCATATTTAATCAATGCATCTGAGGCTTGTTTGGTGGGAGTATTGTGGGTCTTCTGAAGAAAGTGTTATTGCATTTTTCTCTTGGTTCAGTTCAGTTATGGGGATAATTAGTTTAATTATCGGTAATTCAAGGGCAGGTGGAAACATTTCACTTAAGGTATTTGTTAGGCCATTCAAAATAACAGCTTGAAACACAGGTATTATATCTTGTTAAGAAGCTGTATGAATTTTACCTATGAACTAAGTGCAGAATCCAGAACACATTGGACACATGGAAGAAGTAACAGTATATTTGGCTATATGCACAACTAGCCTAGTTTCATAGTAAACTAAATGTGGAATTAGGGGTCCACGCTTGTTCAAGAGAAATTTAATGAAAGTCCTTTTACACTGAAAGAGATTTTAAGCTCCAGTAATTTCACTGCACCATAACGTGCATATTCAGGATATTTGCACAGGGTAAACTTCAGCTTTCCATGCAACAGGTTAAAAATGACTAGGCACTAGCTCAGTCATACCTAAGGCTTCAAGTAGGACTTAAATGATGCATAAACCCTGGACTGGCGATCCCTAGCATAATGAATGGCACTGTTCCAAAAAAGGAAAAGAGGGACTTCTATATTGGATCCTTACTGAATGCTTTTGAAACTATCATTTTATTTAAATTCCTTAAAAATCATTTATTTAAGTTCTCTCTAGCTTTGCTTTCTGTGTTAAATTGGGACAGTGAGATCTGTCTTGTGATGCATATGCACAAAATAAGCCGTGACAAACAGTACATGGAAACCACATGGGGGAAACTCAAGAATCATTTTAACTTGTTGATAAGCTATGGTTTTAGTTTCTTTGGGAACAGACTAGAGGTTATTTTTTTTCTCTTGAGCATAAGTTCTAGAGGCTGTCTTCATTAAAGTATTTTCTTGTGTGTGATTTTTTTAAAAATCTGTTTCAACAGGCATTGAACAGGGGTATCGCAGCTGTCAAGGAAGATGCTGTGGAAATGTTGGCCAGCTATGGGCTAGCTTACTCTCTAATGAAGTTCTTCACGGGTCCAATGAGTGACTTCAAGAATGTGGGCCTGGTATTTGTGAATAGCAAGCGAGACAGGACCAAAGCTGTTTTGTGTATGGTTGTAGCTGGTGCTGTGGCTGCTGTATTTCATACCTTGATAGGTAAGTCTTCCTCACCTGTTATTCAGATAACTTTCAATTTGCCTCCCTTATGGGACTGAACAGATGCCTGTTGCTGTTGTCCCAGGATTGTTGCTGCCCCCAGCCCTGATGCATTGGGAGCTCTGAGCTATCCTTTCTGCATTCAAAGGAAATCATGAGGGCGTAGGTTTTCTTGCAACAGGAATCCTCTATGGGTTGCACAGCATCATTGTCTTTTGAACAGGTTTAAAGCGGTGACTTCTGCCTGTAGTTCATGTCCGTGTATGCACTCTACCACCAGCACATGGTTGCCCAGCTTACTGCCAGTCTATTTCAGTCATGCTTACGGGCCAGGCTATCGTACAGTTGTCTGGGTGGAACTAGATAATGATACTGTCCGACTGCTGTGCAGCTGAGTCAGCTAACAATAGTTGTATCAATGGGGTCACCAGTTCACTCTGCAGGAGGACATCCCTTTGTACTGCATGGAGCCATTTCTCGGGACTTTCTGGCACACTACGTACTTTATACCCGCTTCCTGGACATGCATACAGGATGAGCACCTTGGTATCTGTCTTCCTCTGTAGTACAGCCACCACGAAGTGCAAAACTAGGCAAGCAAGAGCTGGCACCCTGGTTAAAAATAGCCAACATCATCTTTCACCCAGCTCGGTCATCATCCATTTCTCAGTATAACTAGCATTAGCTTTTATCAAAATTATTTCATGCCAAACTGAAACCAGGGCCCTGACGGAACACTGGAGCAAGACGACTTCATAAATACATCTTGGTCTATCTCTGAAAGAAAAAAAAAAAAGTGAGCAACAAGAGGTGCAGATTTCTGCCAGACCAATAAAACATGATATTCATTCAACTACCCACCAGCATCATTAGCAGTTGGAGGGCACAAGTCCTTTGAGAACTGGACCAGATTCACTGCCCCCTGAAAACAACCGTCAGGTCACTGAGCAGAATGGATCTCTCTACATGATGGAGAAGGAGACTTTGGGGGAGGAAAGAGATGCAGGTATAGTGTTATATCTTTTTTATAGCTGTGGGCTGTCTGAGGAGATGAATGGAGAGAAATTGTGAAGAATGTAAAATGGGATGGTGGTCAGCAAAAACTCCCATCAGCAGTCTGAAAGTAAGGAACTGTTTTTCTGTTGAAAGTGTGTGTGTGTGTGTGTGTGTGTGTGTGTGTGTGTGTGTGTGTGTGTGTGTAAGCATGTCCATGTGTGCATGTATGTGTTGTACAGGCGTAAGAGACAGAGAAGGAGAGATTGGTTGCAGAATTATTGATAGTGACCAGCCTGATGCTGTCCCAACCGGCCTGTAGGTGGTTGGGACCTGTCCTTGTTACTACTTCTATAGCATGGAGCATCTGGCGCGAGCAGATGACTGTGGCTGTTATCACTCTGGCTTGTTGCCACATTTTCATCATGTTTACCAAAGGCCTCTTCAAAGCACACAGGAACGGGTTCCCGGCACTCTTGTCAGCATCATGACCATGTCACCTACTGTACTGCTGAAATGGTAATCATTGACATATAATTTAAAAACCAGTTACAATAGAGGCAGTGAGCATGTGCTTGCTGGCTGCAATAGCCTCATGCTAGAGTCAATCTATCATGAACTTAAGTTAAAAATATATATTTAATTCCTTTAATTTCACTAATATATACAGATAGCTTCAGTTTACAGTAATGGCTTGGGTTTTGCCATTGAAAATTGTGGATAGTCCGTATTGTAAACACATAAAAATCTCATTACAGAATTTGTAAATAGCTCTTTGCTTGGTTCATTCCCCAGCCATGAGCCATGTCCTCTATAATGTATGTATCAGATTCAGAGGTATAGCTTTGCTCATTGGACACAATTATGTTCTTGATCCATCTAGTCCTCATTCTAAGCTGTTAAAGGTTTCAGCAGGCTTAAAATATAGCAACCAGCTTCCAGGTGAAAGCTGTAAAATGATTCTTCGGTATGTGATCTTATGATCAGTCAACATTGTCTGCAAGTAGCCATTCCAAAACCTTCTGTTGAAGTAACTCCAAAGTTTTGTCTAAAAAAGAGCACTTCTGTACTCAGAAACTCGTGAACCCCATCCTTGCCCTTCTGGGAAAAAAAACAAACAAAAACAAAAATGTGTTTACCTGCAATACTTTCTAAGGCCTGAATTTAAAAGTGCTTCATCCAGTCTTCCAGATGTTCACAGTGGCAGAGTGGAAAACATTTTGTTGTGTTGTCATGTGTGTGCCTGAAAATATATAAAGACCACATCCAAGATTGGTAGGGAACCCAAGAGAACTGAGTTAGTTAGATACCTAGCCTTAGTTGACTGTATGATGCTGTCAAGTTTTATGTTTCAAGTTTCCTTTGAATACGTTTTAAATCTTGCTTATCCTTTTCTGACCCAGAGATGTACAACTTCACAGCAAGAGGAGGAGCCCAGTGGCTGACTGGCAGCCTCACAGGACCAGCAGTTGGTTTTCAGCAGCTGTGTCCTTGTCACAAACTACCTCCAAATGAGATCAAAGCCCAGGTTACAGATACTTAAATGCCACACACCAGTCCACTGAATGAGATGCTTCTGTGGTGGATAAGGAGGATGAAAAGGCCATCGTCATATACAATGAGCCTCAACTACAGAGGAACAGAAACACCTTGAGGAAACAGGAGGGAGGGAAGAAAACCAACAGCTGTGGAAATGAAATTAACTCTATTCTTATCAGCACATTTGCAGCTGCAATTAGTGCCTAGGCAGGCCTCCTGGCAACTCCTATTCCTTGAAAATGCCAAAATAGGACATTTCACACTGGTGAACTCATGCTTCCTTCCCTCTGCACCAGACTACCTTTACCACCCCTTCATACGAGTCACAGGAATCTTCTATGTTGGTGTCCAGTTGAGACAAACAGTACAGACTTGCATCTGCAAGCTTTCTGTGTGCCTCTTGGTACTGAGAGCATGTAACAGGAGGGCAGTCCGGGGTCACCGTGCTCTCCCCTGCCGCCTCCTTTCCCGTGTCCAGGCTGCTGACTAGCCCCCTCTAATTCTCGCCCGCCACGACTTTGATCTTATATATTTTATAGGGAGGCTGCCCTTCGTCTGCTTGTCCACGGTTCTCCTGTTATCTTTAGGTCTTCTATGGTAGTGAGTGTTCCTGTACACTCCAGCCTTATGGGCTATGCATGGCTCCAACCACCCCTGTACCACGCCCCAAGCCTCGCAAATGTAGCGGACGTTGTTAGGTCTCTCTCTCTCTCTCTCTCACCGTGCCCTCTCTAGCACTCGGGCTCTCCGCAATCCCATGTCTCTCTCTCTCTCTCTGCGCCCGCTCTCCAGGCCTTCTCAGTAATGCTGCCCTCCTCTGGGGCCTTCTCAGTAATGCTGCCCTCTCTCAGGGGCCTTCTCAGTAATGCCGCCCTCTCTCAGGGCTCAGCACGCCCACACTGGGGCTTCTCAGCAATGCCCCCTTCTCTGGGGCTCACCACGCCCGCACTGGGGCTTCTCAGCAATGCCCTCTCTCTGGGGCTTCTCAACTGCCCCTCTCTGGAGCTGGAGTCTGTGCACCCCGAATGCTGCGCCCTCACTGGCGCTGGGGTCCCCACACCACTGTGAATCCCCTATGAGGCCTCCTCCAATGCCTAATAGCCTCACCCAAACCACTGGTGTAACAAATAGCAACACAAACACAAGCCCCTTTGGCTACAACACAAACAGAAGCCACCCGGCTATAATCATGCTCAAGCCTACCAGAGATCCTTTATCTCTCAGCAGTGTCAGACGTTGCTCCTGCCTCCGGCTTCTCCTCTCTTCCATGACCGAGAGCTCTTTTCTCCTTGGCTGCTGGTAGGGAACTCCCCCCTGGCCTCCTGCCTGTGGTTTATATAGGAGCCAGGCCCTGCCCCTTCTTGTCAGCTGGCTAGACAGGTGTGAGTCATTAGTTCCCTCCAGTTGCCTCAGCAACTGGCACCTGAGGGGTTATCCCAGCTCTCCAAGTAGCAGGCACCTTAGTGCCCTGCTACAGAGCACCATCACCCCATCACTGTACATAGGAGACTGATGAATAATTTTCATCACTCTGAGACACATGATAGTGTATACCAAGAAATTAATGTGCATGGCCACAGTCATCTAGTGATTCTGTGGCACACCTGGGAACTAAAATAACATTTCCCTCCGACCTTGAGCCTCAGTTGAGTGTCTTGGACATGGCCATCTTTCTTTGTTCTTGCTGTTTCAGTTTTGACTCAGATATTGACAATGGGTGCTGCCTGTTAAATGGCAGTATGCCTTTTATGGATTTCTTGGAAAATCTATGATGGCACCAGAGTATAAAGCTCTGAACAGGCATCTGAGAAGGAACAATGAGCTTGAACAGAGAGAAAAATAATGTAGTAGATAACTGTTTCATTATATGTGTATAATACCCCTCACTAATTTCACCCTGCTGGAGAAGGAAATTGATTTATAACATAATTCTCTGTTTTATGTGCTGTATTGATAAACATTCCATATGAGATGGGACCCTTTTAATACTAGACTCATAATAAAGAATTAAGTCTTTCTCTTCCTTATTGACAAAACTGCACAATTCATTCCTTAGCTGGTTTATCATCTTGGCCTGGCTGCCACTTAACCCAGACCGACATCTGAAATTACATGCTGATGGAATAGAATACTCTGGACATTTCTTTCCAATGAAATGTTTGTATGAATATTCAGTAGAACGTTCTTCAGCTCTCCAAGGTTCTGGAAGTGGACAAAGCAGCAGTCATTTTGGAGACATTCTTAAAGGCACAATCCCTGCACTTAACAAGGCATGTCTAGCTTCCTTTCACATTGTAATTTACTTGTCCCAGGCAGGCAGTAGATAGTGTTGCTTGCCAGCTTCAGAACAAAGCATTTCAGTAGCCAGGCTGGAGGACAAAAGGTACTCGGTGCCTAAGAGGCTGTGTAGGTGTAATCCAGGTAGAACACTTTCTTATCTCAAGAAATTATAGCATGCACAACGATGAACTAAACCGTGTGTGTGTGTGTGTGTGTGTGTGTGTGTGTGTGTGTGTGTGTGTTTTCAGGCCAGTTCTAACATGCCCACTAGACTGGTTCATACTAAACATTATGTTATTTTTTTTAAAAGACTAGAGCACAGGATGGCAAATTTGAAACCCTAGGCTCCAATAATCTTCATAGATTTCATAGACATTAGGGGCTGGAAGGGACCTTGTGAGATCATTGAGTCCAGCCCCACCAACATAGGCAGGCAGTCAGCTGGGATCAAGTGATCCAAGCAAGAATAATATCCAGACATTTTCTGAAAGAGTCCAAAGTAGGTGTTTGCACCACCTCTGGCAGGAGTCTGTTCCAGACCCTGGACACTTGCATCATAAAGAACTTTTTTCTTATGTCTAGTCTAAATTGGCCTTCCTGGAGTTTGTGGCCATTAGACCTTGTTATTCCTTGGGGGAGCTCTGGTGAACAGTTCTCCCAGCTCCTGATGTACACCTCTTATATAATTGTAGGCTGCTACCAAGTCACCCCTGAGCCTTCTCTTTTCCAGACTGAAGAGTCCCAAATCCCTCAGCCTGTTCTTGTATGGCCTGCCCTCCAGACATTAGATCATATGAGTGGCTCTCCTCTGGACTCTGTCAAGCTTTTCCACATCCTTCCTGAAGTGGGGGGCCCAAAACTGGATGCAGTACTCCAGCTGTGGCCTCACCAAGGCCAAGTAAAGTGGGAGGATGACGTCCCTGGTTTTACTTGAGATGAATCGGTAGATGCACACCAGAGTTTGGTTTGCTTTGCCAGCCACAGCATCGCATTAGTGACTCATATTAATTTTGTGGTCAATCAAGACCCCCAAGTCTCTTTTGGTGATGGTGCTAGCAAACATAGCATTGCCGAGCTTGTAAGTGTGTTGAGAGTTTTTCCTACCGAGGTGAAGCACCCTACACTTCTCAACATTGAAGACCCTCTGGTTTTGGTCAGCCCCCCTTGAGAGCGTGTCCAAGTCGGTCTGTATCC